CATGATTTTCAACTTGCTTTAGATATTTGTAAGGGTAAACGACCAGAAATTATTGAAAATACACCGCAATGTTATATGAATTTAATGAAGAAATGTTGGGATATGGACCCGATGAATAGACCTGATACTTTAACAATCATTGATATCATCAAAAATTGGTACGAAAATATTAAAACTAAAAATTTTGATAAGGAACTAAAAAAGGAGATCATGGAATTTTATGAAGCAGATAAAATTTTAAATCAAAATCAAAGCAAGGTTTTGAATACACCTTTTATTACTAAATCACATCCTCAAGCGCGTCATTCAAGTCATTTGCTGGATTTTACTGAAAACTTAATGAAAGTTTAATCAAGTAACACATTTTATCATAGTATTGATAATTCTAAAAAGAGATGAAAACTTTTTATCTTTATAATTTTTATTTCGTATCTTTTACTTCTTTTTTCGATATTTTTGCATATCTTAGTTTGTAATCATTGAACGAACTTTTATAATATATTTTAAATGGCAAAAAAAAAATATGTTGTTTAGTGAACACTGTATAACTATTTTATAAATATTACAGTTTGTAATCACTGTAACAAATAAACTAAATAAACTATGAATTACAAAGTAGGGCTTATAAATAAATACTATTAGAAAAAATTTTTTTTCTTTGAAATGATACTTTGCGAATAAATTCATTCACATTATAATGGACTAGCAAAGTATAATAAAATTATATAATACAATGGGACTGTTAAATTCACTTACACGAGATTCAAAGATAATAAACTATCAAGCCAAAGCTCAATAGCGATTTTAAACCTCGATTTCTATGTACTATGACTAATGAACTGTTTGCGCATTGTTCATAAATTATTACGTTTACACAAATTAAAGTCTTGAATGATTCGATTCGTCAGTAAATGAAATAATTCAATCAACAATTAATGTCGATGTTCGATTATCCGATTTGAATTTACCTAGTTATACATGAATAAATATTTAAACTTTGTAAATAATCGAATGTTCTTGTCCGGGCAAACTTATTGACAATTATGAATATCTAAATTGCCATATAAAACTTTGAATAATTTTCTTTATTTTGACTTAGATTTATCACAAATATAATGGAGTGATCACTATTTTATTTCTATTTATGTTTTGGATAAGATCGCGTTGGTTATTTTTATTGTTTGTATTCTATATTGATGTTTGCAAATAACTTTTAGAAGTTGATCGTTGAATGAACTCGTCACATTTTTATCTTCAAAAGAAAATCACGTGATAATCAACTTAAAAGACGTGACTGTCAAGCTGTGATAGATTTTAATAGGTAATTTTTTTTTTATCATGGCAGGAATCCTTTTATCGGAATTGTCATAATATATCGGGAAACATCTCTCGAGCCGAGACATCTATGATGCAATTATTCAAGTTGGAGAAAGTTAAGACACGAAGGAATTCTTTGTACATTCGTTAATCCTGTAATCTTAATTTCAAGTTCGACATATTTTTAAAACTGCATTTACAAAGGAATAGGCAAGGCAAGAAAATGGTGTTACAAATTTTTGGAGGTTTATTATTTGCTTTAAAAAAACTAAATGTATCCTCGAGTCGTTTCGAAAAAATTGTGAAATATCTCTACAAATAAATTTGATTATTTTACCTTGATATTGTTATATAGAAGTAAAATTAAATTCTGGCAGGATGGTGAAAAGGCGGTACACAGATCTAGGGCAACCCCTGCCGGTGCGCCTTTATGCACTCTCAAACGTACGAAACTAGTTGGGATCCAAAAAGAAAGCCAATGAGCGACGTCCTATGCGCCATACCATACGCGAAGTTTAGGAAAGTCACTCATTCGCCAAGTTTACAGGACGATACCCGCTTTTGATCAGCTTCGAAGACATTTTGAAGTGTCGCACGGATTTGATCTTTACGCAATGGATCTTGTGATTTGCATATACGATATCGAGAAAACAATGGAAGTAAAAATAAAATGGCAATATAAGTTTCGAGCAAGAGGCTGAGGAAATTATTTTTTAAAAAATTTTTTTTTTATTTTGTAATAACTATAACATATTGCGTCAAAATTAAATACTATCAAATTTGGGATTTTTCGAAATTAGTATAGAGAACGTCAATACTTATCGTAACCCAAACCTCTAATATCTGCCGTGGTTCGTAAGTTTGTTTCTTTTTTACCGAACTATCTTGTAAATCCACTTATATAACAAACAGCCACGTAGCCGAATGCTGATTGACATTTACTGAAACCTCCAATTTGCCGAAGACCACTTACTGCCTAAAGAACAACAATAAGCAACTATTTTTCGGTAACAAGGCTGTCAATCCGTAACCGTATCGTATCTATTTTTTGAAATTGGCTCTGTCTTTTCTTTTTGCAATTAAATTATTCATATAATATAACTTTCAAATTTATTTTAAAAAAGAAAATTATAATTCAATTAATAATCGAAAAAAATTAATATTTTATATAGAAGAAGAATAACCATTATTATATTCGTTTGCTTTTTTCACCATCGTATTTGATATGTGGAGATTCATATATGTTATTACCTGAACGTTCAGGTTATTGTGTAAACTATATTTGGATAGACGCAAGAATTTATGCCCTTTTAAAAGTATTGTTAAATTGATACTACAGTAGCGGTCATAAGTATCCGACCCCTCATAATTCTTAAAGTTAATTAATAACACCCATTAAAATTTTCCAA